TATATCTTCCAGAACCTGTTTTTTGTCATGGTTAGCTTTATGTAGCGTTGTCAAGAGCTAAAACGAGCAAGTCCCTCAAAGTTCTATTTAACCCATCAAACAACGCAAGTCTACATAGCACGTGTACTCAAAATGTTGTATATAAGGAAATTCTTTCGTTCGTACATTTATAAAATATCTTAAATTGAATTGTTCCCGTGCTACTTTAATGATCAGGTAAACATAGAAATTTTGTTTCAAGCCTTCGTTCAAAAACGAAAAGAAGGGACAATATTTGAAGGTTCGAATTTCACTTTTCATTCTACCACAGGATATTAATAAAAAATTAGTAGCCAGTGAATACATTCACCTAAACATTTCATTTATGTTCTTGAAATGTTTGTTTTATTTATATAGATTTTACATTCTATAATGATGCCAGGCATTTGAAGCACCATCCTTTCATCATCTTACAAATGCAGATTAAAAAATGATCACTTGAATTTTTTTTCGGTGACACAGTGACCTTGCCATGGACTCATAAGCATTTTTTCCATCTGTTGTATCCTTGTAGCTAACTCATTTAATATTTTCCTGCAGAACAATGTCTAGTTGGTTGATGACAGATCAATGTCCAATTCCCTCAGTTTATGTTGGCTATGGCTTGTTGCCTAAGTTCATTATGGATTGTTGACTATGGCTTGTTGCCTAAGTTCATTATGTTGTGTAAGAGAAAATGTAATTGTTCATTATGGCTTGTTACCTACTTTGATTATGGTGTGTAAGACGGACAAGTTTAATTTGTACCATTATGGCTTGTTGCCTCATTTGAAATGGTGACCTTGCACGAATGGATTGAAATACTTAGGGTGTGCTGTAACTTTAACAGTATGGAAATAGATTTCCTAGCATTTTTAAATGTTATGCAGCTAACTGATTATGCTATAACATAGTGTCCTCATAGTTGCACCTCATTGGAGTTGCTGAAACGAAGTAGAATTCTAACTAATCTGTCTGTCCATTTCTT